GCTGCCCCCGGGTCTGTGCCGAAGAAGAGAGATGCAGAGAGAAATGTGAAGAGAGAGAGGGACAGAGGCAGTGTGTACTTTTCTGCCGTAAGAAGTGCGGAAACAATGTCCTCATGACGGGACATGAAACCCATGAATGTTGCTTCCGCGGAATATCTTGCGTATGTTGATGATTGATGCTAATATTGGTCCTGATCCTTGGGATGTGGCAGTCATGTCTGAGTAACCCAGGAGTTCGGGGAATCCATATATATGTCCTGACACGAAATTCTACCTTAACTACGGTGGTGTTTTCACGCTTTGCCACAGACCCCCAAAGCTTCGGCAGGCCTAGACCGCCTCTCAAGCCCAGGAGACAAAGATGGGGAGAGAGAGAGAGAGAGTGTGGGACCTGGGGACCTCGTCAAGACCTCGAGACAAAAGCGCGTGCGCACACGCACGCGCGCGGAACTGCCCTCCCTTGGCTGTGTGGAAGAAGAAGAGAGTGTGGGCTCTTTATGAGTTCGTCCTCTATGGCATTCAGCTGTCGAGAGAGAGCTATGTACATACATATCCACTCTTTCCACTCTTTCGGGCTTGGAGTCATGTTTGACGCAGCCCTTTTTTGGGCGTGCAAATTAATTAAACACGGTGAAACAGAGTCGCTGGGTTGTCATCCTGTCCTACCCACAGGGTGATCTTTCCAGCTTGTGCAAAGGATCGGACAGCAGCGAGCTTGGATAAGGTCTGGATGTCAGGCCCAAATCCACACGGCACTGTGAGGCAAGCCCTGATCCCTTTGGACCACAGCTGCAGGGTGAAGCGAACAACTTCGCACGCGAGCTGGGAGGAGAGGAGTGCACGCGTCCTTTTGGCAACCGGACATACTCCGGTGTCTGGCAGCTGTAGGCCAACCGTGCTGAGGCAAAATCCACATTCCTCATCCTGAGTTTCTAGAAAGTCCAAGGAGAGGCCCTGCTCAAGTCGCAACAGAGATTCAGCGTCGGAGAAAACCAATGGAGATCTCGGATATCCCTGTGCAGCCGGTGTGTCAGCGGCTTCCCCAACAACAATCAGGACGTGGTCCTGTGTCCAGTTATCAGGTCTGGGAAGATGGACGGCATGCAGGACAAGGGAGGAGAGTGACGCAGCGCCACTGCGAAATATGTCACCTCTCTCTGGCCGAGCCTTACCTTCCTGCAGCAGCCACTCGACGAGGTCGGCGGAACGAAGCCAATCCAGTGCACTTAAGATGCGGCGACGGGCAGGGTCTGCATACACCTACCTGCCCTGCTGGACACCATTGCTCCACGTCTCAATTGTAACCCGAATGCGCTGCAGGGGGAGACAGACGGAGGAGAAGGAGAGGCGCAACCGTTCCCAAAAGACTTCGGCATCAACGCGGGATGCCTCCCCATCGAAGTCGAGTTGGAGAAGGCAATCCAGTACCTCCGCTGAAGGTCGTTGAAGCTCATCGATGGTTTGATCATCACAGACGGGTTGGGTAGGACCCGCCGCTTGCAACGTTGGCGCACAAAACAAATGAGCCTTCCGACTGCCAATCCCGGGTTCAGGTGTAACTCTCTGGGCCTTGCTCAAAAGGGCACTTCGACAAACACGCGAATGCCTAGCATGCCGACACAGGCGAATGTTCGTCGCGTAGTGTCTGAGGCAATGAGCACACTGAGTGCCCGTAACAAGGGATCGGACTTCGTCAGTTCTGCCGTGGCTTTTGAAAGCGTGCACCGACCACGCGCGCAGGTCTCGAAAGATCATCTGGCACGGTGCACATACCTCTGCGGTGTTTGCCCCTACGTGCGAAGCAATCTGAGGTCTGGCGTCGAGGCATCGGAGCTGCTTGTACAACAGGCCGAAGTGGCGGTCAAGTTCTGCCTGCTCCTTTTCAACGGATAAAGCCCGGGAAATGGCACGACGGACCCTAGACTTCCACTTCCGGGGGGAGGAGCGGCATTCCGAGACCCAAGTGTCCCACACAAGATGCCATGTGCCGGTGTCAGTAGGTGCACGGGTGTGCTCCCAGAGCCACTCAACGGAGGATCGAACCAACCGCAGCCAATCTTGTTCCCAGTGGGCAAGGGCCCAAATCTCCGGGACATCAAGTCGGATGCAGGAGAGAAGGTATCGCAACCGAAAGGCGTGCAAATATGTTGCCGCTCGCGGAATCCCAGCTTTGGCAATAGCTTGGGATAGGCCTAAATGCCATGCCGCTTCACACGAATACGCGGGAGACAGCATCTGGCATGCCATCTCACGTAGAACTGCATCAAGGGAATCCAAATGTGCCTGTGTGACTCGCGTCCATGTGCCGGAGCCATGGAACATAACCGTGGAAATCAGGCTGTCAAAAAGTGTTGCCTTGTCCCCCGGCGAGACCAATGGCGACTGGAAGACCTTTCGCCTGCGACGGTTGAAAGCCTCCCATGCCTGTGAGCAGCGGAAGGCAATTTCATGCCGCAGCCCTCCGTTGTGTTGAAGGAAACCGCCGAGATGGCGATAGACGGGCACAATCCTCAGCTTGGCATCCGTCCACAAACGACAGGACAAGCGAATAGCGCCAGAGTCGTCCCCGAAAATGTGTCGCCTAGTTTCCCTCGCTCCTTTGCCGTGCAGCTGCATAATGGCCTCTGTTTTACCTTTAGAAAGGTTCGGCACGAGCGCTCGCTGTAGGCAAGCATCTATCAGAGAGGACGCCCCAAAATTGAGCGCTGCGACCAGCGAGGATGCATCGGGGCTCATTAGGAAGGTCATCCATCCAGGTCGCATCTGATAGCCCGATGCGTTGCTCTGACTGCCGATCCGGCTGTCGGTCGGCTACCTGAATGCTGTTGTGCATATCTGGGCTCCACGGAATATGCGCAAGCAGGTCGGCCTTCTCAAGGGCCTGGCGCACCTGTTGAAGCACCTTCGCGAAAAGAAATGAGAAGACCAAGTCTGATAGTGAGTCTCCGGGGCGAGATCCGGTACGCGTGACGATGATTTCCGGTTCGTCTGGGAGCCTAAACCAGGTGTCGTGAAGAGTATCGGAGACAGCTCCATCTGCCCACTCACTAGATCCCGCATCCCGTACCAAGGAGGGCCCTCCTATAAAGTCGCGCAGTTCGTGCATGGTGTTGCTGGGAAGCTGCACAGCAGCACAGATGCGTGCGACCTCAGAGTCCGTCGGGTGGTCGCCGGTGATGAGCGGACGGATAATGCGGTAAAATGCTTCCTGTAGGTCAAGGAATAAAATGGCGTGTGAGCTTTTCGTGGCTTGGCAGCCGGACTGAAAGAGCCGCGCCGCATGCGCCGGGATTGTCACAGGGTATTGGGGTAGCCCCCCAACTTGCAAGGGAACAGTGCTCTTTGAAAGGGGCGCAGTGCATCTGCTCCGAATTGCCTTGTGCAAGGACTTCCCAAGAACCGAGGACACTAATATCCCCCTATAGGAGCTGCAACATTGTTTGGGTCCCTTATGTTTCCATATGAAGTAGAGTGTTCCACCTTTGTGCTGGATGGGCTCACAAAGGCGGAAAGCAGACTTCAGGAGCAGCTGATAAGCGACCTTCGAAATGTAGGGCGCTCCGTAGTGAGGCGCGTAGCGCGGCCTCCAGCTCACACAGGCTTGGGATGTCTGTCGGGACAATGGAGTAGTCTGACAGATCCTTGGCTTGCTGCCTGCGATAGCAGCTATGGACGAAGTCAACAGGGTCTCTGACATGCCCATCTTCAATCGAGGAAAAGTGTGATATCCATTTCTGCTTTGCCTCCAGGTGTGTGACAGCGAGATTCCCGGGTGAGGTCTCAATGGCTGGGAGGGGATTGGTGCCCTTCTGCTTACGCCTGGGTCCGCCGGTGAGGACCTTGAGACGCTGGACAATATCCCGTGTCGGGGCAGCGACAGCCTGAACGGCAACCTCATGTAGGTACTTCTTCGTATCCTGCCTGATCATGGTCCGCAGGTGCGCACTTGTGGTGCGGAGGGCTGAAAGGTGCCCAGGGAGGTCCCGTAGGCATCTGAGCCATCGGCTCCAAAGCTTAGGGCACAGGGTCCTGAGACTACATGAGTCCCTCCAAGCCTGCCATGCTCGTGCAAGGGAGAAATTGCGGCCAAAGCCCGACGCGGAGTGGATCCGCTTCCTGAGCCATGCTCTTTGGTTGCGCATCTGCCATGTGGCCGGCTGTAAGTATGGCTTATGTTGCTTCGCCCGCTGTGCTGGAAAGGCAACCGGGAGCAAGGTACGAAAATGTTGCTCGATTCTTGCTGCGTGACGAGGAACGTCTAGCTGCCATGGCTGCTGCGGAAGTGACGTGCAAATAAAGCGCAACTTCTCACGGCCCTCTGGCGTGCCAATAGCTGTCGTGTCTATGCGAGCATGTCTGCCTCGCTTAGGAGTGTGGAGAACAACATGGGAGACAGCTTGCGTGATGAGGGCGTAGTGGTCAACTCTACTCTGTCCCCACTCAAGCTCATGCAGCACTCTGCTGTCTCCGGCCGCGACAAGCCATGTCGCAGGCAACGAAATATAGTCGAGGCGTGAAGTCGTTGTGCCGCCTGGTGACTGCCAAGTATCAGTTGGACCTGGATGGCAACAGGAGAATGTGCTGGGCACCCATTGGCTGGCTTCGTCAAGAATGGTCCAGAAGACATGCGGCGGAGGCGTGGGCGAGGGCCAGGTGAGGTCCCCAGTCCTATCTGCATACGGGCGATTCAGATGCAGGTTGAAATCCCCGAGCAAAACTAACTGCGCATCCTGTCTGAGGCGACCGATCAATCCACGAAAGTCATGCCACCATTTGTCGCGTTCAGGAGACGAGTTGGTGGGTGCGTGGATAACTACAAACAAAATGCGCACGCCCGCTCTTGCAAACCGCGCGGCCAAAATTCTCGGGTCCCAGTGCACAGCAACAAAGTCACTGACCTGGAAAAGCACGTTGGCATTGGGATGCCGTATAAAGTGCTCGGTTCGTGAAAACCAAAGTTCAACACCATACGAGCCCCGAGGGTCACTCGAGCTACAAAATCGAATGTGAGTCTTTGACTGAATGGTCTCGTCACGTTGGGCCCTGGTTTCCTGAAGCGCAGCAACCCCGACCCCTAGCTCTAGAAACTGTTCCCTAAGCAAAGCAGCGCGCCCATGGAATGGCGTTGCAGGGGGGTCCCTGCCGGAGCTGGCCTCACGGGGGTGCAGAGACTGGACATTGACGGTAAGCAGGACGGCAGTGATGGTTGCCCATTGCTTACCCGGATCGCCTTCAGCGGTGCTTTGAAGCCCTAACATTTGCTCGCATTCTGGTCTGGTCGGGAGTCCTAGGTCATTGCCACCCCAGTCTATGAAAGAGTCAGCAAGTTGTGCCGGCCAGTCCTGGGGGTGGCGCTGGGTGTCGAGAAACAACCAGAGCCATGGCATCCATCCCCTCTGCACAAAGCAGCAGATGGGGTGCCAGTGGCCCTCAAAGACCCGTCCGTGTAAATGACAATGGAGTCACACTTGCTGAGACCCCCTGTCACATCAAGTGGTGGGTGGCCTTTACACCATTCATCGATGACATCGAATTCATGTGTCGGTAGTGGCCACAGGTCATAGGGGTCTCTGTGGACTAGCTGAGCAACGTGGTCAAGAGTGCAACCGACCCGCGTGGTGACCCCAGTTAGGTCAAAGGATCTCGCACCCAGGTGTGGATCCAGGCGCAAAGTTTGCACCTCCGGGTCGTTTGTGAGGCGGTGTTCCTGTGCTGGAGCGAAGGCCCCAATTGCAAAGTGCTCACGAAGGGCTTCGACAAGAGTGCTCGAGAGATAGAACGCCTCAGATTCCTGTGGCAGGATTGACTCCTCCAGCAGGGTGCTCAATGTTGCAATCTCGCAAACATGGGTGCGGGAATGGGCAGCGGTCGCACCTCTGGCATTGGCACGTACAGGTGTAGGAAGGGGCCTGTGCCCGTAGCCAAAGGGATGGTCGGGTTTCAGCTGCATGGTGGGTAATTCGATGTCCCCGCGAAGGCTACTAATGAGCGGTTGTGGGGGAAGCTGTACCCCGGAAGCCCTCGTGACAAGGACACCGCACAAGATACTCCATGCAATCAGTGGGCGGCCTATTCCCTGAGGGTGGCTAAGCAGAATTACCCAGCAGAGCAGAGGGAGGAGGAACGGGTCTGTTAAACATTACTGCCAAGTAGGAACCTAGTGTTTTCACACAGCTGAAATGTAAAGGAACAGCTTGAGCCTGTTTGTTGCCCTCAGGCTCAAGGACCCAGACACACCAGT